GGATGTCTTGTAGGAAGTCAATCTTGCAAGCTGAAGCAGGGAACTGCTAAGGCAGCTGCACCCTGGTGTGACCATCGCAAAGCAAGAGACCCGACAAGTAGAAAGGCGAGGCTCACCATCCATTTATCCCTCAGCCTTTCAATTAGCCCCACATGTGATTCTCGGCCAGACTGGCACAATTAACTAACTCACAGCACTAGCACTTGGGTGACATAGACTGTCCTCACCTTGTGGTTCCAAACCTTTCTTTAAAAATAGGGAGGAGGAAAGCCACAGGGTGTCCTTCTTGGGGATTGAAAGACCACCTGAAGAGACCTAGCTAGAGATGAGCTTTTCTCCGAAGGAAGCACGTAACAGCTTGTGTTTCCATGGCACTCTTTGGTGGGATGATTAACTAATGCTGATCAGTTTAATCTGATTATGAATTTAACAAAACCTTAGCAGGAGCCATGTACGCAGGCCAAGCTCTCCCCCGCCTGCCTGTGTTTCTGAAAGGGACATTTCACCCCGTACAGTCATGATGCCTAGCATTATGATCATGAGACTGTGATGAGTTTTTATATGAAACTAAAAATTTAAAAAACAACAATAAAAAATTCAGTAGACTTTTTTTTTTTAAACCATTTCCATGCAAGCTTTATTTTCCTACTAAAAATCTGGGTTTTTTTAAAGACACTCAACACTGGAGATAGACCATCAGAGTTCTGGGTATGGAGTTGGCATTTCTGAACAGGCCTTCAACTTTTAGGAGCCTGAGCAGTTCAAGTGGTGCTATGGAGGGCCAGCCTGAAAACCCAAGAAGATCCCTAAAGGAAACTTGTAACCGCTGGTCCTGGAAGCAAACTGTTCCTGGTGCCTAGGACATCTTATTTTGGATCGTTTGAAACAGAGTGCATATTACCATCATTGCTTTAACAATCCGTTTTACTACTTATAACCTGATATACACTGCTTTTATTCCCCCCCCCTCCTGTTTTGCCTCTGTTTTCCTTTTGTCCGCCCCATCCCCACCCCTCTTTGCTTTGTAACTCAATAGAAGTGCCCCAACTCACTGACCTAAGCTTTGTCGATATAACCGATTCAAGCATCGGCCTGAGGTGGACCCCGCTAAACTCTTCCACCATTATTGGGTACCGCATCACAGTAGTTGCGGCAGGAGAAGGTATCCCCATTTTTGAAGATTTTGTGGACTCCTCAGTGGGATACTACACAGTTACAGGGCTGGAGCCGGGCATTGACTATGACATCAGCGTCATCACGCTCATTAATGGCGCCGAGAGTGCCCCTACTACACTGACACAGCAAACGGGTGAATTTTGAAAACTTCTGTGTTTGAGACATGGATAGTGTTGCATGCTGCCCACCAGTCGCTCTGGTGAAACTGGATGTTTCCAGGGAGAACCCAACCGTTTGCCAAAGACTGCGTATCAGGGATAAGGAAGCACATGCGTGTGCTAAACTGATTGAACGGCGCCATGGGCAAATGGTCGTAAGTGCACTTCCGGTCCACCACTAGGAGGAGAAGCTTAAAAACTGTAGATATCATATCAGCTCGACACAAGATGGCAACAGTAATTAAACTGGCAGACCTCAAGTATTTTCAGTATCTCACATTAATCTTGAATTGTATCAGGAGCGCCAGTTAACAGTAAGAAGAAATATGATTTCAGAATGTACCCTTGTGTCCTTCCTTCTCCTCTTGATGAGCTGTGCCAAGATCCTGCTATGTGACGGACTGAAAGCCCATAGAGACTTACAGAGAGGGGTGTGCCAAGGTCCTGCTATGTGGCGGACTGAAAGCCCATCGAGACTTACAGAGAGGGGTGGAAGTTGGCCTGAGGCCAGAGAGAACTCTGCTTTGGAGTTTCATTGCCATCTCGCCGTCCGATAAGAGACACCTCTTTCACCTCGGTCTGGGGGCAAGCATGCAGCATTATAAAGGTTCTCTGCCCTGCATGGTAAGAAACATGCTGAGAACCCATTTGCATGAATCCTTTGCATTCGGGAGTAGAAAACACTAAATGGAATCGTAGCTCTCCCAGTAGCTGTAGACCTACTACCTCGGGGGAAACATAGGACTGTGTTACCTGCCCGTCTGTGTGCATGTGTTTGTTTCGCAACGTAGCGCTGCTATGTTTCTCTTTGCTGTGTGGCAACTTAAGCCTCTCCAGCCTCGGGTTAAAATCGTATTTGGTTGTGATTGACGATGTACTTGCCATTAATGTATTGGAAACTAGCTGTGAATTCTTCTTTTAAAACCGAGAGAGGATGGCAGAAAGGTGAAAGGAGCCTAACAGTGCTGTGCGTGGTGTTTACTTTTTAATAGTAGTGGACCGTGGTTTAGATTAGCGTTCGATCATTTGCATGATCCATGACGATGCCTTTCATGCATGCCATACTGGTTAACTTCCCAGTTATTCTTGTTGTTAACTTTCATTTTTAAATGACAGTCACTCAATTCTTCCTTCATATTTGAACCCAGCCGTCCCTCCTCCCACTGACTTGAAATTCACCAACATCGGTCCAGACACCATGCGCATCACCTGGGCCCCACCTTCGTCTATCGAACTGACCAACTTCCTGGTGCGGTACTCTCCCGTGAGGAACGAGGACGATGCTGCGGAGCTGTCCATCTCTCCTTCCGACAATGCCGTGGTCTTAACAAGTAAGCAGGCAGACGCATCTGTTCACAAACCATCACTTAGAGCATGGTGAAGGGAGCCCTGGGGGTGCTGGCGATTGGGCACTGGACTGCAGACTGCAAGGTGGGCAGTTGGAACACACGCGCTCATGGGAGCAAGATGAGACTGCTGGCTGCTGGAAAGAAAGCCCCTATGTAGCAGGGCAGGGAACCGTTTCTGCTAGACGCCATTTGGATATTTATAGCATCATGTGTGGGCCTTGCTGGTCAAATATTTAATTAGCTCACATGAAGGGGGATGGCACTAGGAGTCTTGGTAGTGTAGTGGCCACACCGCACTACAATCTGCAGGGTCAATAGTTCGAAACCACCAGCAGCTCCTTGGGAGAAAGATGGGACTTTCTACTTCCATAAAAAGGTACAGTCTCAGAAACTCACAAGGGCAGGTCTACCCTGTCCTTTAGGGTCCTGTGAGTCAGCATTGACTCAATGGCAGCAGTGGGGAGAATGTGGTGATGGCCGGAGCCGCTTCTCTGGGGTGAAGTGTGTGAACTTAACTGGTGTTGGTGATTTTCAGGCCTTGACTAGCCCAAGGGCTGGACATTCTCCACCCCTTGCTGTGAGTTGGCATTCACTTGATAGCAATGGATTTAAAGCATAAGGAGGAGAATTCTGAGTTCTCAATTAGCAGCAACTGAGAGCAAGTAGATTCAGCAGAGTCACCCACTGCGCGCTTCAGGCCATGTGTTAACTCTACAGTTTTGAATGCATGGGCTGCGGAAGTAACAGGCAGAAGCCCTTAGATGTGAGAATGGTGAGAATTTTGTCTTGCTCGATTTGGCCATGTGATCATCCCTGGAGAAGGCCATCGTGTTTGGAAAAGTAGAGGGTTCATGAAAAAGAGGAAGATCCTCAAGGAGGTAAGCTGAAACAAGGGGCTCCAACAGACCTCCTCTTGCGAGAGTGGTCCAGGGCCAAGCGATGCTTCTTTAATCAACCGGGGAAGCTGTGAGTCCAAATAGCCCCGGACAGCATTAACAAACAAAGTCACCTTTTGAAAGATGCTGTACTGATGGCCATGTTAGTAACTTTGTTATCTACACCGCTTAAAAAAAATCAGTGATGAAAATAACCCGCAGTGAAGTTCAAAGACTTTGAATCCAGCTTTCAAAGACACACAGAAAAATAAATGAATGTCAAAAGAAATACTATGACTAATGGTTAGGGAGAGAAAAATAAATCAAGATTTGGAACTTACTATGCCACGGTATCTGTTTTAGTCTCTCTTTTTTTTTTTATTAAGTGGCCACAGGTAATCTGTTTACCGTTTGAACACTTAAGCATTTGATTGCTTGGGATGGTTCTGGGTGTTGTTTTAAAGAAAGAGCCAGAAGTTTCCCTTGTACTTTAGAAAGAATCTGTTAGCAGGATTTCTCAGAGGGCTAAGGATGTGAAAACCACTCACATTAAAAAGCAACAACAATAATTTATGGAAATTGTCTCTTTCTAGTTCCGACCCTTTCAGGCACTTCTTATTAAGGCAGGTCACTTTCCTGCAACAAAGTGCCGTGTTCCCCTTCAACGTTGCTCCCAGTTTCTCTCACTGTACAATCTATAGGGACAGCAAGTCATTCTGTGTAAGGGAAAAATGACTCACACTACTTGCGTTACCAAACAATGACCTTAAAACATCATTTACCTTTCAAGCAGATTTTAGAAGATAAGACTCAGAGACGGGCAGCAGAAAACATTCAGTACAATGTACTTACTATTTCGCTCAGCCCTTAACATGGTAAGAACTGAAAACCCTGTGTGTTTCTGACCCACGCTGTGGTATTTTCAATCGCCTCGTGTGCATCGAATCAGGAAGACCAAAGAAAAATTGAGGCATTTCAACTACGGTGTTGGGAAAACTATTGACAGGGCGATGGACTGCCTAATGAACAAACAGATCTGTCTTAGAAGAAGTACAGCCAGAAAGCTCTTTAGCGGCAAGGATGGTGAGACGACGCCTCATATGTTTTGGACATGTTGTCAGGAGAGACCAGTCCCTGGAGAAAGACATCCTGCTTGGGAAAGTGGAAGGGCGGTGGGCAAGAGGAAGACCCTCTACAAGATGGATGGACACAGCAGCTGCAACCCGGGCCTTGAACCTAAGAACAGTTGGGGGGATGGCACAACGCCAGGCAGTGTTTTGTTCTTTGTTCGTGTAAGGTCTCAGTGAGCCCGCACCGACCTGAGGGGACCTAACAATAGCAGTGACTTTAGCATGGCAGAACTGCTTCTTGGCTTTGTGGACTGGCACTCTTTCCCCAGTGAACGTTAAGTGTGACAAGCACCAGTCTTGGTCTGAAATAAGCGCTGTGTGATGATCTTGGACAAGTCTTTTATAAATTGTGCCTTCGTTTTTCTCATTTGTAAAATGAGTGGAACTGACGTAAGCCCACACTCCCAGAACTGATGGGCAGCTTCGTTACCTTGAATATGGCTGGCGCTTCTTGAGGATATGCTGATGTCAGGCTGTCACATTTACACTTTTGATTTATAACGTTCCTTAGATGTAGGAAAAACTGCTCAGCAAAATGAATAAAACTACCTCAGAAGGCTGTCATAAAAAATAAATAGCAGTCCACAAAACAGTCATTAAGGGTCCTCAACAGCCTACCACCAAATGGGTGGTAGAAATATTACTTTTAGGCTACAACAGTATTTTACTTATTTATTTTTACAGCAAATGGAGTCAGCTGCCTCTACATGGTGCCAGGTCTCAGTCACGTTCATAGAGTGGGTCAGGTGACAGAACTTTGAGATGAGGGTGGGCAGGGCCACCCCAGAATCACCTCCTAGTTACAGATCACCTGGAGGAACAAGCACTCCTGTAGGCGTAAGCAGGCCAGTGGGCTGGACACGTGGTCGTTCCATCAGTAGCTGTAGTCCCGGGAGTGTTTGATTGCTTCTGCTTGCACGTGTGAGGTTAACAGAAGTCCCACTTGCCTCTCTCAGATCTCCTGCCTGGAACAGAATATTTAGTCAGTGTCTCCAGCGTCTATGAACTGCACGAGAGCACTCCGCTGAAAGGAAGGCAGAAGACAGGTGAGTCGTGGCAGCGATGGACTTATTAAGCAGGGGTAGCTGACCAATTTAAAAGAACAGAGAGAAACGCCATTTCTACTCCCCAGAATGCGGCTGTGTATTTACAGGTGGTGTTGCGACTTTTTGATCGCTAGTCTTAAAAAATAAGACACCTTCCTCGACTGTTGAGATTCTGCTCTCTGCTTCCAGAGGGGGCAAATGATAGGCCTGAAGTGGTTCTTTCCTTTTTGAAAAAATAGACCCAAAAGAATATGCCATAAGCGCCGCCCCTCTTTTTTAAGTGATAGTGGACCGGCCTTCTCCGTCGAAGCTTCTGTTAGATGGTTGACTCAGCACTGTCCTTGCTGTTGCCATGTTTTCCCCTTGCTAAGCTACCATGTTTACCCCCACCTCATCTCTTTTTTTATCAGGATCATAAATAATATGTCCTTTTAAAAACATGACTTTTAAATTTTTTACTTTTAACACAGTATGGCTTAGTGTGTTCATTAATTTATTTGCAACCCAATTGTTTCGCGAAGAGAGTTAGGATGTCTCAGTTTGATTTGAGCATGTGGTTGACTAGAGTAGACGGACGAGATGACTGCAAGGGAAACTTGTTTTTAGTCCCAGAGATGCGGAGTGATTTGAATTTGAGATTAATGCTGATTCTTGTTCATTTTCCTGCCATGTAATAAATTCTTAAATTGCGAGGAATTTTCCGCTCTACTGTTTGTTCAGAATAAGGTCTGACTTTAGGCTTCTGACCTTTGTGCTTGGCAGAGTCACGGCTCTTTTGGCAAATCTATTCTTCCTTGAGGCAGCACATCTTACCGCGAGAGGTACATTGACAGGAGTCCAGAGGCATAGTTGAACGCTGACGCACTGTAAAGTGATACATTCCCAGACTATCTTAAATCCCTAACTCCAAATGTAATACAGAAGCATACTGTAGTAGCTGGTATAAATGATTTGGATTACTGTCCTTAGGAAAAGGAAACACTAAGAAGGCTTGCCTTGGCCCTTGAACTGAGTTAATGCTGTTGAAGTGTTTTTGTAGCTTAGAAGCAACATACCATCACCACAAGTTAGAAGAACTAAAATGGAAGGAACCGAAGCGTTCTGTGTGAGCTGTTTGCCCCTTGACTCTTGTTCCTTCCTAACCCTGGGGGTGTCTTGTTCCTTCTTTCCCTGGCCTCCTGCCCTCACGGCAACCACAGGTCTTGATTCCCCAACTGGCGTTGACTTTTCTGAAATCACTGCCAACTCTTTCACTGTCCATTGGATGTCTCCGAGAGCCACCATCACTGGTTACAAGATCCGCCATTATCCCGAGCACACGAGCGGCCGACCTCGGGAAGATAGAGTGCCTCCCTCTCGGAATTCCATCACCCTCACCAACCTCCTACCGGGCACGGAGTATGTGGTCAGCATCACGGCTCTCTCCGGCAGAGAAGAAAGTCCCCGCTTGGTTGGCCAACAATCAACAGGTAACTTGTTTGCTCACCTGAAAGGCAACACAGCGGTCGTTGCTAGTCAAGAATCTCCCTTCTGAAATAGTTTGTGCTGGCAAGTCAACCTCTCTGAGCAGAACGTGGGGAAGAAGTGAGAGGATGTTTGGAGGATAGCTCCCCTCTTAGATGATGTTAAAGAAAGTAGTTCCTTTATTGTAAGGAGTTTCTCACCCGATGCAAATACTTATATATTTCTAATAACTGATGTTTCACTCAAAAGGCTGTGTTGAAGCCTTTCCCTAAAAATGAGTACAGTAAAGCCAAAGAACACTGGAAACTGTATCAGGCAGAAATTGAAAGTTGAAGGGGAAAACAGTCCTTTCATAAGTTGAAAATAATCATTGTATCACAAATTGAATGATCTTTTACCCTTAACTTTGAATTGTTAAACAGTTTTAATTCTGCTAATGGTGACCAATAGTCACATGATTAAATGAAGCCGTCATAAAGGCCAGTCTCTGGCAAGTGAAGACTTGGGAACTTAAAGATATAAACATGTCCTCATGTGTTTTTTAGTTTCTGATATGCCGAGGGACCTGAAAGTTATTGCCACAACCCCCAACAGCTTGCTGCTCAGCTGGGAAGCTCCTGCCGTCACGGTGAGGTATTACAGGATCGCCTACGGAGAAACAGGTGAGCGGACAAGGTGCCACTGCCCCCTCTGTTCAAGTCAAAGTCTGTTGGAGGTTGGTAACCTGAGACCCAACCGTTGAAATGTCATTACATCAACTTTGCCGGTTCCACTCAGCACGGTGTCTTTTCTAAGAATATGTAGAATGTAGGCTGATGGTAAAGTTAAGCGGGGCAATGGCTGCTAAACAAAAGGTTGGCAGTTGAAACCCACCGGCTGTTCCTGGAGAGAGCTGTGGCCTTCGGCATCTGTAAAGATGCACAGCTTTGGGAAATCTTTGGGGGCATTTCTAGTCTGCCCTAAAGGGTCACTAGGTGTCCGCTCAGTGGCAAGGGGCTTAAAGGGAAAATCAAGATGAAAGTCCTTTGCATCATACAACGAGGACTTCCCTGCGTGGTGCAAATGGCTAGTTCCCTTGCTGCTAACCAAAGGGTAGTGGTTCGAGACTACCCAGGGGTGTCTCAGAATTGCCTAGCAGTTGACTTCTAAAACGTCCCAGCCATGCACCATTCTCTGGAGCACCACCTTCCTGGGTTATACATGGGTCACCAGGCGTCAAACTGGACTCCTAGGTCACTGCTTTGCTTCATAGAATTCAATACGAGGGCAAACGAGGAACCCTGCTAGTGTAGTCCTTACTCCTTGGATAAAGTGACCAGATTTGAACATTGGTAAAGCGGGACACCATTGATAAAACTCATATCCTGGGGAAATAGACACATGGCAGCTGAAAACCGTATGCCCTAGCTTGTCGTGCATTCTTTCCAAAAATCGGGACTTTTTTAAAGGGCCGTGGGAC